TAGAACAAGATTATTAATTATAATGTAGTTAAATTTCGTGTAATTTAGAAAAGAACCAATAATTTCATAGTAATAGTAAAGATTTATTGTGCCACATGCTGCGCCACAACTGCGCATTACTGTGCCACACTGTGCTACTATAATACGAAAACATGTATAAATACAAATGCTGATAATTAATAAAAATCAAGTTCTCTTAGTTTGATTTAAGTTCTCCAGTTCTAGTTTTAAGTTCTTAAGTTTGGTTTTGAGTTTCTTTTGGTTTAATGTCGAGTTTGATATATTAAATTGATTTATTTTTGGAATTTTAAGTACTTTTTGGTTAAATTTACCTTTTAGTTTAGTTTTGTTATTAGTTTAGTCTTATTTTCGTCATCTTTTATCTTGTCAAGAAACATTATTTATCATTATAAACACCATTTTAGTTATAATATTCAAAGTAAATTGCCGTGAACACAGTTACTATTGCCATTTTGAAATACTTTCATACGCAAAAGCTCAAAATGGTAACAATACAAGTATTTTAATAAATTATTATTCAATCAATTAATGTACAAATTTCATTAACAATAAACAGGAGCAATTTATTGACTAGCTAGATTTTTGTATGGATCAATTGATGTTTTTTTTAAAGCTTCAATTGCACTTTATTTATAATAAATATTTTTCACTAATAAATGTTACATTTATAATTAATTATATAAATTAATAAATAATAAATACTATGTAAATAATAGTAATTACAGTAATTGTGATAATTATTAAATTTATAGAAATTATAGAAATTATGAAAATTATGAAAATTTCTAGTCGTAACAATGAGAATGTATGATTACGATTGGTGAGTTTTTTTATTGACTCAAGTTGTTCTTTTTCCTAATTTAAGTACTGATCTTTAAAATCTTTAATACTTAATTGTCTATTGTGAACCATTCGGGATCTTGAACTGTCGGGATCTTGTACCATTCGGGATCTTGAATTTTGGGATTATGGACTGTCGGGATTTTGAATTTATTAGCTATTTATTTTACGTTATTATGTAATTAAAATATATTGGAAGCTCCAGAGCAAAACATGTATATTTGAAGAAACAATTACGCATTTATTTTTATAAATAATTTTAATATTGGTAAATTTTTCAAAAGAGAAGTTCTGATTTTTTATTAGACCGTTTCTAAATTGAGATATTGTAAGCATATATACATGTACATGTATTATGAATACAATATCGATATGTTTGACGTTCGTACATTGTCCATGTACGAGGAATGTGATATTGGAAGATGTGATATTGGAAGAAATATCGGTTTGACAAAAAAACGTGAGCACTGATCATGTGAACCCGGATTTGCACAACTCGAATTCTATTTTTATCGTTTGGGAACACAGAAAAAAATGGATGATCTTAATTATTCGAGATACCCTACCCTTAAATAAAATTCGGTAGTAAAATTTTGCAAGACATTTTTTATTAAAGCACAAGAGATAGTTTCATAGACACAGTGAATTTTTGCGTTGCACATTGATCTTGCGATAAGGGATTAGATCAGTGAATAAATGCTATCGGGGTTGGGTACATGACTATAAATATATCGCGCATAGAAACAAATATGGTTTTTAATGGCGCAAATTCACTGCCACCACATTCCAAAGCGGCTAATAGTAATTGGTCTATGTGCTTTTGCACTTCTATTTAGCTATGCAGGTAGAGAATTGTTTTGCGTGTTAGCCTCATAAAATAATTTATTTGGCAATTAGCATTTTAAAGTGTTGTCCTTTTGCTTTCAGATCGTACCAATTTGGCCGTAGGTATAGTGTATATGTCTAAAGAATTTAACTGGGATTCAACTACAGAAGGTTTGGTTCTATCTGCCTTTTTCGTTGGATATTTTACGACTCAGGTTATTGGAGGTGCATTGGCAGATAAATTTGGAGGGAAAATAGTTCTCGGAACGGGTATTTACTTTCAAGCTTCCCGCTCTTATTTAAAAGTAAAGGAATAGTATTGAAAACACTTTTGTGTTTTATTACTTTCAATTTGATCTGTTCGAAGCGGCTTCTTGTTGGAGTGCCTTTACATTTCTCACACCTCCCGCAGCAAAACACGGACTATATACCTTAGTATTATGTCGTGTCTTATTGGGGGTCGGTGAAGGTGCGGCTTTCCCGAGTGTTCATTCAATCATTTCTTCGTGGGCTCCAATAGAAGAACGTTCTCGCATGGTAGGAATAACGACTTCGATAGGTTATTTCGGCAGTGTAATTGCTTTACCTCTTTCTACATGGTTAGGCTCAGGTCCGGGTGGTTGGGAAAGTATATTCTACTTTTTCGGCATGGCAGGTGGCGTTTGGGTGATTTTTTGGATAATTTGGGCTCAAAATAGTCCAGCAGAATATCAAGGAATTACCATAGAAGAAATTAATTTGATAAATAATGGGAAACCATCAACACAAAGGATAAAATATCAGCAATTGGAAGAAAGCCAAACGGGGATTCAGGCGGAAGTTGAGAATCCTAGTGATATAATAGTAACAGGAGAAACGAGTAGTTTATTACCTAAAAAACGTCAATACGAAACTAAAATTATTCCATGGAGTCGTATTTTAAAAAGTCATGAGGTTTGGGCTATCTTAATCGCCCAGTTCTGCAGCGGTTTTGGGTTTTTTATCATTCTTACTTGGTTACCTACTTTCTTTGAAGATCATTTCGATGTCGAAGTTAAGAAATTAGGATACTTTGCGGGTAAGGCAAGTGTGTCAGGAATTTTGCCTACAATTGTTTTTTTTTGATAATTATAAGAAACCGATTAATTTTTTTATAGTACTACCATATATTGTTCAAGGCGTGGTCGGATGTTTTGTGGGTATTATCGGAGATTTCGCTATTAATAAAATTGGTTTGAGAGTAATCACGGTGCGACGACTTGCACAGTTATTTGGAAGTTTAGCAATTGCTGTTTTTCTATTATTGGTAATTAAATATTTATTTCGGTTACAATAAAAAATAAGCTTTTACTGATTTTGTTATAATTAAAGACTACATTTCAAGCGACCACTATTACGCAAGGTATCTTTTATATCGCGTGTGGTATGGGTTTAAATGCGCTTACACTTATTGGGACGCAAGTGTCTCAGGTATTTTTAACGCAAATCATTACTCTTTCGAAATTGAAATACAACATATGTAAAATTTCTTCATTTTTTTCTTAATTCTAGCTTGACATCGGTATAAATTTATTTTCTCTCTTTTTTTAATTATATTACAAAATAAAGTTGCTGACGAAAAATCTTTATCTTATACTTTAAGCTCCACGTTACGCCGGTACAATCTATAGTCTTGGCAACACGATGGCAACCATCCCTGGATTTTTTGGCGTTGCATTGACTGGCTGGATATTGGATACTACCGGTCATAATTGGGGTATTATTTGGTCGATTTGCGCGTTTTTTTACGTAATTGGCGGATTTTGGTTCTCGTTCTGGGTTGGTGGTGAAGTGGTGATTGAATAGATTAATTTAATTGTCTTGTCTATTGTGCATTTCATTTATAGTCCGAAGTTTTGATCGACCAAAAAATTTTATATTGTCTTGATTTTGCCTGGCATTATAAAGGTCACCAATAGTTTCTATGGTGCAGAAAATCTTCACATCATAGCGCTGAATTTTAAAAGTAAAAGTATTGTAACCAATATGACGATCATTGTCATGTGTGACATGTCACAAACGCGTAAATATGCTCCGCACGCGTGATCTATATTTGAACATTCACAAAAACTCGCGTACTTGTAAAGGGTTCCCATTTTTCTAGCATGATAAAAAGGACAGATTTGCTTTCCAAAAAATCGTTTTAACTCTAAAATTTATTGTTATGGAAAGTAAGTGAAGAAATTATGTGTTGTCCTTCGTGGAAGTGTAGAGAACTTTGAAAGAGAAATCGGTTATGTACTTCTCTTCGTCTACTTCTATTTCTAGCTCTACCTTTACCTCTACTTTGAAAGATGAGGGTCTACTGATTCTGGAGGAGGAATCGGTTATGTACCTCTCTTCGTCTCCTACGTTTTACTTCTACCTCTACCTACCTCGACCTCTACCTCTACTTCTACCTCTAATTACCTATACGTCTCTTACATTTGCATTTTTTACTTTCAGACAGAAAAAGAAAGGTCTGTTGCCCTCCCGAAAGGTCAATTTTCATCGGAGGTGACTTGTATGGAGTTAATAATAAAAACTAAGGGACTGCATTTCTACCGTTATGGAGCAGACTAATACTGAGCTTTCGTTCCACATTTTAAGACGTAAGCAATTTTTATCAATGGCTAAAAGTTCTTGCAATATTGCACTAATGATCAATTTTTTTCATCTTCAAACAGAGAACGATGCTGGGAATTTCTTTAATAAAGTCCAGAACCAAGATTTTGTTAGCGATGATGGAATCAGAATAAATTTTCATCCTTCAAAAATAGTCGAGAATGACGTTCCTACCGTATATCAAATTCGGGTAATGTATCAATTAATCAGCCGATTTACAGTAAATTTAAGGCCTGTTTTTTTATTTTGATTATTACATTTATAGAACGACGGACCCTCTACTTCTGAACCTTCTATGAATCTGAACCCTCCGAACCTTCTATGAATCTAATACCTCCAAATGATGTAGCATATGAACCGACACATTCTGTATATGAAGAGAGGTATAAAATAATAAATAATAAACAATTCATATAGATAGACATCTAATTTCGTTTTTTTTTAAGTGATAAGTACATTATAATCTTACAAGTTCCCGGAGTACAGGGAAAAAAGGACATCAAGATCGAATTCGATATATCAAGCAAATTAGTCACTATTTCAGGTAAAATTCCACATCATACATATTCTGGTGATTTGCTGAAAGACGGCCTAATTTCTGGAATTTTTTCTTTGAAGCTAACACTCCAAAAGTCGTAAGTTATTTCAGTTACAATTTTCAATCTCATTCTTCCTTTTTAAAAACTTGATTTATGTATTGCTCTATTGTATAGTATTGACACGATTCGCGGTATAAACTTGATCGATTTAGAAGACGGGGTCGCCAAAGTCACTTTAAAAAAAGGAACAAGTGTAATACTAGAATTGTCATAATAAATCATTAAGTTTTTTGCTCATAATACATAAATTAAGCGGTGGCCTTTCGATCAAATATCCTGGTTCATGGAAATCTACCGGTTCTTTCCGGTATACGACATAGTGTTGTTTTTTTGTGCACTCAAAAATGATCAAGCAAAACAGAAAATTTGGTTCCCTATTTTGCAGAATTTCCATCGCTTTCAGAGATAAGAAAACAACTCACCGACTTTGATTCTCATAGTAATATATACTCAAATGGTAATCTGGTACCGAATACCTTCGGTCAGTGTTGTACACGGACGTTTTCCGGCATTAGTATTGTCCAGTCACTGCCTTTAGTCACGGGACATAGTCGGGACAGTTGGGACGGAACAATTTCAAAAATGCTTGGGACATAGAAAATGTACAGTGCTGCTTTAGTGTACCACCTTCACGCAATTCTTCATATTTGTGGATCTTATTATATACATATTTGACTTGCATCAGACATTCAACTCGTGCCAATTGGCTTCAAGTTTTTTTTTTGACGTCTTTTTTCTCGCTATTTTGCTTTGATTAAACACAATTCATGTTGTACAGCTTAGTGAGTTATGGCAAAATATGATCTTTATTGTTTCGATCTTAACAAATCATTTCATTTTCATATGCTAAAATCAACAAACTAATAAATAACTGATTCATGACATTATGTTCTGCATCAAATCAGATGATTCGATTATTTAGTTACAGTATTGCTCCATGTGATATTGCTGCATCAAAATGTTGACGCTCTATGATTATTCGTTATCAGGTAACTGTTACAAGGTGAGAGAACATTAAAAATAAATCGAGACATCAATATTTTATTGATTATTATTATCATCGAAATAAAGGTGCGACTTTTACTCTCATTACTTCGCGTCCCTTATACTCGAGTTGATGTGGATATCAAAAAGGGCGAATCACGCACCGATGAATTCTTAAATAATGTATCGTCAAATGGAAAAGTACCGACTATAGTTATTCCATACGGGTATGAACATCTAAAAAGGAAAACAGATGAGAGCATAGATTCTACTAGCAGCAACAATTATGCTGAAAGTAGAAGCGATAATAATAGTAAAGATAATGGCAAAGGCACAAGATTATCAGAGTCAAATGCAATTTTAATCTATCTCTCATTAAACACTCCGTTACTCCCATCGAATCCCATCGAACACGCACAAGTAATGCAATGGCTTTTTTGGGAACAGTACTCGCACGAACCAAACATAGCGACATTACGTTGGTGGATCTCGTATCTTGATAAATCAGAAGAACCTGAATATCTGGATCGGATCGTCGAGAAACAACGTAGTGGATATGAGGCTTTGAATGTAATGGAGAAACATTTGGAATCGCGTAAATTTTTTGTGGGTAATCGGTTTACGATTGCTGATGTATCATTGTATGCTTATACTCACTGTGCGGAAGAAGGCGAGCTTTTTATTTATTAGATTATATTAATTTGTTATTTTGAGTATGAATTAATCTAATTTTAAAGAATTGATTTTTTAAAGGCGGATTTTCTATTGAGAGTTTCCCAAAGGTCAAGGAATGGTTAAGAAGAGTGGAAGAACAACCAGGTCATATTGCAATGGATGATTGAGTTTTAATTTATATACTATATACGTAACATAAAAATGTGCATCTTAATGAATTAGTTTCTGCTGCCTTATTGCTTAAGCAATATAATTAATTTACTATCAAATAGATTGATTGCATGTGTATTTTATATATTATGAGAGCACAGAGTTTCGTGCAAGTGTTGTACTGTTGATATATCTCAAAATTAAGATTAGACGACATGATTATTAATGTAGGGTAAAAATTATGCTATATCGATATGTAACAATAAATGAATGAATTTTATTAGATCTGACTGTATGTAGGCTTGGCCCGAATGAGCTCTAGTTATTATTCTCTTGTCTATTATTAAATAATCTAATTAAGTAATAATATGATATGAAGTTAATCTATATTGTTCTTGGGATTTCTTTAATATAAAAACTTTGTATAAGGTCACCAGTCTTGAACTGCGTAAATCCATCGAATGACATTCCACATTCGACGCCTTTTGTTGCTTCGGCGATGTCTTTTTTTACTTGTTTCAATGACTCCATGGAACCTATTATAATTATAATCAAATATTAAATATTGAATATGTAAAAATTTATACATGTATGAGGTTATGTGTATACTTTCCTTCCCAAATAATCCTTTCGCCTCTCATAATACGACATTTTTGATTCTTCACCACACGCCCCGATTCAACTCTACACCCCGCCACAGGTTTAACTTCTTTTCCCTTCCCCGACAACTCAAAAACTTGAAGAATCGTCGCTTCACCCGTTACCTGTGTCTCGAGAATCGGCGGTAGTAATTTGCTCATCCGTGATTTTACCTCGTCTAGTAATTTGTAAATTACATTGTATGTGATGATCTCTACGTTTGCTTGTTTTGCCGCGTTTTGTACTTTTTTGTCGGCTTTTACACTGAATCCTAGTATTGTTGCTGTTTTTATTTTGATTCGTTGAAAATTTATTATTTAGTTCATAAGTAGAAAGAGTCGAAATATAACAGATTTTTACAAATAATATAGCTAACAAATAAAATATTAAAGAACCTTCAACAGTCGATGCCATTTGTATATCAGAATCTGTTATATTTCCAACTCCATAATGGACGATATTAATTCGGACCTCTTCGTTCCCTACTTTTTCCAAAGCATCAACAACCGCTTCCGTTGTACCGCTGACATCAGCTAAATAAATATAACCATCGTCAATTAATCACGAATAACAAAACCGAATAGATAATAATAAAAATAAAAATATACAAAAACACGCCTTTAACAACAACTTTGAATTCTTTAATCTTTTCATCCTCTTCTTTCTTTTCATCCGTGTCAGGTTTAACTTTTGTAGGATACTCTGAAAGCAATCCGTGATAATACATCCAAATCTCTTTCTTGATATTACGTTCATGTTTTCGTTTTTCGAGCAATTCTTCTTTTTGGAGTCGCCGTTTTTCCGAGATTATTTTTTCATCGTTTAACAGTAATTTCTGTTCTAGTTGCAATTGGCGAAGTTGTACTTCTTCTTTTGCAATATCCTATTTTTAGTTAGTTAGTTAGTTAGTTAGTTAATTAATTGAATGAATAATAACATACTACAAGAATAAAGAAAGAGTAAATTAATAAATACTTCATCAGGCGCTTCTAATACTTCATCACCAGCCTGTGGTAAATCTTTCCATCCTATTACACGAACAGGCGTACCCGGTAATGCTTTTTTTAACGTACGACCTTTATCATCGATCATTGATCGAACTCTGCACCAGGCCGTGCCGCCTACAACAACATTACCAACTTTTAGTGTCCCACGCTTAACTAAAATTGTTGCAACGTTTCTAAATAATATAATATATATATATATAATAAGTCATTTAAAATAAAGAATATTAGAAGTAGCAGTAATAAATTTTGTATACAAACTAACCCACCCTCTTCCTTTCTCAATCTGTGATTCAATAACAACACCCTCCGCGCCAATATCGACCTCTGCACGCAAATCCATCAACTCGGCAAGAACAATAACCGCATCTTCTAATTGATCAAGACCTAATCCCTTATTTTAAAGTAATAATTAAATAAACATAAAATATTCAGATAACAAATAATAATCCAATATACATACACACACACACACACACACCTTTAATCCTGATACTTGGACTGCTTGTGTTTCGCCACCGAATTCTTCAAGGTCAACGCCGTATGACAATAATGATTCGCAAACTTTACGCTTTTTAAAATGAACTATATCAATCCCAATTCTAATTCAACAATCAGTTGCTGACGCGTTCTTACCGTATTAGCATTATGTCTATCAATTTTATTGATCGCCACAACCATCGGTACTATAAATTAATAATATAATAACTATTATTCATTAATATAAAAAACTAACTGTATTGATCACGAAGCAAAATTCCTTTTTCTTTCATTTCATTCTATATTTTATAAATTTACCTTTAGCATCTTTAGCATGCTGGATCGCCTCAAGTGTTTGTGGCATAACACCATCATCGGCGGCCACCACCAACACGACAATATCAGTCACATGAGCACCACGAGCACGCATCGCGGAGAATGCTGCGTGTCCCGGTGTATCGAGAAATGTGATTGTTTGTTTTGAAGGTAGTTCAACTATTTATTTAGATATTTAAATATACGAGTAAATTCATAAATGATTAACTTTAATTATCTAAAATTATTATTTGATGAATGTATTTACCTGAAAAAGCACCAATATGCTGCGTGATACCACCAGCTTCGCCAGCAGCCACAGACGACTTCCGTAACGTATCCAGTAACGTGGTCTTTCCGTGATCCACGTGTCCCATTATCGTGACTATAGGTGGTCGAGGAGGGTATATCGACATGTCCTCGGGTATTGGTTGTTTTTTTAATAGTAAGCCACCATTACTAACTTTTGTTCCTCCAGTACCATCATCATCAGTCTCATTAATGATGGAAATATTGTTAAAATATCTTTTATGATTACTGTTGATATTGATAAAGTATTTCTGAGGGTTTGGTGGGTTATTATTCAAGAACGGAGTCCATTTTGTTCTTAAAAGATATTTATAATTATTATTATAATTAATATGACGTTTTGTGAAAGTTTTGAATATTCGTCGTTGTAGTATTAGGTTTGTTGTGGATATTATTTGTAATGGCTTATTATGGCACAGGTTGTGAAAACGAAGTGACATTCTTTTGTCGAAGTTAATTATCTCGTTCCACGCGGAGTTGGATGAGTCATTATGAATTTCTATTCAGATTATCATGATCGAAATAATCAGTTTCTTATCCTTCTACAATGGTTTATTCAATACTAACTGTCGATTCTTCTAATCTCAAATTAGATCCACTCATAAACTCTTTAAGAATAGTGGGGGATATTATACTCTCGGTATCCAGTATAGGAGACACATTATCTTTAGAAACATTCCTTCAAAAGTATCCGCTTCAAAATTACTGGGTGCATTCCAACATTTCGAATAATGAATCCTTAGAACTTCAAACAATTGTAAGAATTCTAGATTCGGGTGCCGCAAAAGTAGTGATACCTGCTTCTACTTTGTTAAAAGAGAAACAACTATTTAGTGAAATATCGTCAGAAAGACTTGTCGCGAGCATTCCTGTTTCAAGTACTTCCGAACAAAGTATCCGTGATTTGTCTGGACTGGTTTCTAGTTTTGTAATTATTGTAGAACAAGAAAATGTAGCTTTCGAAAATTTTATTAAAACTCTAGAAAATTTTATTAAATTGGCGGCATCGCATCAAAATATTACTGATGGTAATATACCCGCGAAATTCGTGGTGATTTTGCCTCAAAACTTTAAATATTCACTTGAAGCAATTCGCCAAATTTCATCAATTGGGGCAGATTTAACTATTCCTTTTGAAAATCTTTCGCTTGACTCGTCATCTGATTCCACAACAATTAATATAGCAGATGTATTATCATGTCAGCTAACATCAGATCGATCAGATGGTTTGTTCACGACCATTGTCGTGGATGAGAGGAATATGGCATTAGGTGTAGTTTATTCCTCGGCAGAAAGCATACGTGAAGCTGTAAAGACCGGGAAGGGAGTTTATCAGAGTAGAAAAAGAGGCTTGTGGTATAAAGGCGCCACTTCTGGGGCCACTCAGGACTTAAAAAAGATAGAAGTCGATTGTGATGGCGACGCATTGAAGTTTATCGTGACTCAACACGGAAGTGGTCAGTAATTCTCTTTATTATCAATAAAAGGCTTGTTTTACAATTAAACGAAAATATTATCTTAATATATAGGATTTTGTCATTTAAACACCCGGAGTTGCTTCGGCGCAGATGTTGGACTGACTTCTCTCGAAAAAACTTTGCAAAGTCGAAAGATTTCGGCACCAGTTGGTTCTTATTCACAACGTCTTTTCCAGAACCCAGATCTCCTTCGATCAAAGATTATGGAAGAAGCCAATGAACTTTGTTCGGCGACCTCAAAAGAAGATATTGCATGGGAAGCGGCAGATTTAATTTATTTTACTTTGGTCAAGTGTATAGGAAATGGCGTTTCATTAGCAGACGTTGAGGCGCAATTAGATAAACGTGCAAAAAAAGTTACTCGACGTCCTGGAAATGCTAAACCACAATGGCAACAATTATCTGCTAATGGCAATGACGAATCAAAGGTAAAGAAACTAAATGGAAATGATAATACATCATCGTCTATACCCGTGTTTCCAACAATTTCCAAATCTGAAACTATCAAAATGCAACATTTTCGAGCATCGGAAATTTCTTTGGAAAAAAGATCGTTGCTACTTATACGTCCTATTATACGATCAGATGACATAATGAGTAGAATACAACCTATTGTAGAAGATGTACGAAAGAGAGGTGACACCGCATTAATTGAATTTACTATGAAATTTGATGGTGTTCAATTAGAGACGCCTGTTATTTCAGCTCCCTTTCCAGCCGAGGCTATGAAATTAGATGATGTAACACGTGCCGCTATAGATAAAGCCTATGATAATATATATAAATTCCACGAAGCACAATATGATCGGTCAACATTAGTAGTGGAAACCATGCCAGGAGTCACTTGTTCGCGATATAGTCGACCAATTGAAAAAGTTGGTCTTTATGTGCCAGGTGGAACTGCTATTCTTCCATCGACCGCTCTAATGTTGGGGATACCTGCCAAGGTCGCGGGATGCAAAGAGATTGTGATTGCAAGTCCACCAAGAAAAGATGGCACTGTGGTACCTGAAGTTTTGTATGTTGCGCATAAAGTTGGTGCATCCAAAGTAGTATTGGTTGGTGGTGCTCAGGTTGTTGCAGCTTTAGCTTATGGCACTGAGTCTGTACCTAAAGTTGACAAGATATGTGGACCTGGCAATCAATATGTTACCGCAGCAAAAATGTTTGCACAAGTAAGCAAATGCTCGAAAAATAATTTATTTGTCATATGAATTTCAGCAGTTCTGAATAGATTTTCATTGCATATGCATAAATCTTGATTATCTACCAACCTCACATAATAGAACGATAGTTCAGCCATGGTTTCGATCGACATGCCAGCTGGACCTTCAGAATTATTAGTAATAGCAGACAACTCAAGTAATCCAGCATACGTAGCATCTGATCTCCTATCACAAGCCGAACATGGAACAGACTCCCAAGTAGTTCTTGTCGCTGTATCACTCACACAAGCACATCTACAAGCAATCAAAAACGAGATTCACGAACAAGCTTCTCGTCTGCCGCGTGTTGACATTGTGCGGGAATCAATTGGAAAAAGTTTTATTTTAGAGGTGGATAATATAGAAGATGCTATGCGCTTCTCCAATGACTATGCACCTGAGCATTTGATTTTACATCTAGAGAACGCAGAACAATGGGTGGAGAAGGTAGACAATGCTGGCAGTGTCTTTGTCGGTTCTTATTCACCTGAAAGGTAGGCATTCACTCACTCGCTCGTTCACACACACAAAAATACAAAAAAACAAAAAAACACAAGAAACGGGTTTGTTTTTGGGGTTACTATGCATGCAGCCCAACCCTGCATCTTATTATATCGTTACGCAATGTGTGAAATTGCTTGTTGCATCCTTTTTTTCCGAAATCTTGATGCCGGTTATTTACCTGAATTTCCAACAAACAATGACTATTGTTTCTATTATTAACAATAATCATCAATAATCATATCCTTTGTTCTATTTTCTTTATCCTCCCTCTCTATATTCGTATTTATACAATGTATCGAAACATTGTCTTCCTAGTTGTGGAGATTACGCATCAGGCACTAATCATACTTTACCTACGTACGGTTACGCACGGATGTACTCTGGCGTCAACACTTTAACCTTTGTTAAACACATCACCACACAACAATTAACTAAAGATGGATTGAATCTATTGGGTGATACAGTTATGCGATTGGCCGAAGTGGAAGGGTTAGAAGCGCATCGTAATGCTGTTGCTGTCCGAATTAAGGATATTCGATAAATTTTGTGGTTTATTTTTTCTAAAGAAAACATGTAATAATAGAATTTAACCGTCTCGTGTACGATAGTTTCTAATTCATGCTTACCTAATAATTCGTGTTTTCGAATGATATTATGGAAATGCAAAATCATCTAATGTATACGTTGTATCCATTTTGTTATTTCCCGGTGTGCATGAAACAAAAAAATCACCATAGTAACAATACTGAATAAAATATATTTTTGATGCTTTATAAAATAGATTTTGGTTTTACATAAGATTTTATAACAGAAGTATATGCTTGACATAAAATTTTTCGGTAATAAATTTTATAACAGAAGTAAACATGAGATGTATATATATTTGTCCATATAAAGAAAATATACACACATAAAATAATGTAATAATAAATGATGAGATCAGAAAAGTAAATAATAATGATAAAAATTGTTAGATCTATCTATGATGTTTTTCATCCTGAATTGTGGGAAATTATCACGGGCGGAAAAGGTAGTGAGTGCTATTGATAAAGATAATTTGTTGTTACAAGGATTATTATATGTTGTCGTCTTTGAGGAGGCCCTTGCCGATAGAAAGTCGATAGATTTTCGACGCGGTAAAGCCTTTTAATCTTAGTCATGAGAATCGGAACTTCGAGCCAAAGCACCTGCGATCGAAAGGAATGAAATAGATGGCCAAAGAGTATTAATACGCGGACCCATGAGTTGTGGAGCGGAATCTGATATTTTCAATCTAAGGATAGGATCATGCCAGCGAGGGTGTCTTGTGAGAAAGAGGAGAATGATTAACTATTTATTCTATTAAAATTACTTTTTAGGCATCATTCGTCTATTGTCCGTCTGAAATGTTTAATAATAGTATCAAGGTCTATGAATTTGTATATGTTTTTAATGAACAAGGACCACCATTCCTTCCATATCTGCATTCTCGAAGTCAGTGTTATCGTCTTGTTCAAACATGCTAATACTACCAACACGAGCCATTCCCATTTTTCTTCGATGCTTGAGACATTGTTTGTACATTCCCCATACAGGCGAATTTGCTAGCAATCCTTGACGAAGATGTGAGAGATAAGCATAGAAATCACAAACAGCCACAACACGATCCCGACAGAAACGATCAAGCGGAATCCATCCAGGTTTCTCGGTGACTGATAAACGTGCAGACGAATTAAGTGTGGTGGCTGTCGGTGGCACTGCTGCATCTGGCCCTGATATTCTCATTCTATATTCACAGCTTCTTGAGCATCCACATAGACCACATTTTACTTTTGGTGGTGGTGGAGGTTCTTGGTAGCTAGAGCGAGATGAGATGCTGATTTGACTTGTGGTTGGAGTACCGGGCATAGATGAATTGAAATATATTGTCTGAATTTCGCATTGGCTCTTCATTATTGCTTCTAACAGACGTCTTTTATAGAATGGCGATTTCCACCCGGATTTTCCTTCAAACAGACAAGGTTGAATATCTTCAGCCATACAACGTTTCATGAAAGGTGCATTTAGATTAAGATTATTGGGTGCTGGAGATGTCGTAAAAGCTTTGACGTATTCTTGGAATTCTTCATATACAATACCATCAAGATATATTTTTTTGCCTTTTGCAAACATGAAATCGTCCATCGAGAATAAGCTGGGTGACATGTGACCAAAGTTTCTGCTAGCGCGTGGACTACTTATAGGAGAATTAGACATTATGCTTCTTCGAATGCTAGATGCTCGACTTAGTACTCCGGGAGCAGGTGTTGAAGTTTGTATTGCCTGTCTCTGTTTTGTAGAATCCAAGTGAACTAACAGTAGTTTCATCTCACGCAAGCGATCCTCCCGAGAAGCGGAAGCTTTTAGGGCTTCGGATAATTTACCCTTTGTCTCTCGGTTTAATATTTCTAGATCTTCTCGTGCATTCGCTTCATCAAAGACCATTTGATTAACTTTTTCAAACATGGCGTTTACCCAGTCGTCAATTTCGGATTCCAAATCCTCTTTGGCGGATTGAATTTGCATACGAAGGGTTTGTTCCTCTGATAATGATATAGCAAGAGCTGAAAGATCACGTTTTATATATGCTCGTTCCTCTATATGTTGATCTGCTTGAGCTAGTAAGGATTCACAATTAGGACAAATGCTTTGAGTATGATGAGAAACGTTTTCAATGGGGCCTGGTCGTGGAAGAGCATTCGGATCATTATCCTCTTCTTCATCATCGTCGTCATCTTCATCAGCAGTCTCCTCATCATCTTCTGAATTTATCTCTCCAACTTCCTCTTGATGATTATGTTCTTGGTAATATTTTGGATCTTGTATATGATTGGTATCATTAATGTTTGTATTACGATGTTCATCCTCGTCGGGTTTGATATTATTGATATATTCCTGTGGCTCCTCGTGTAAATTAACAAGGTTTGATTCGCTTGTTTCTTCAACAGTTTCTCTTTTTTGATACTGAGAAGCGAAATTATTAGTATCTTCGTCATCAGTCAGCAGGTCGAAAGCTGTAATATCTTCTGACCCATCCAAATCTTCTAGACGGTCAAGCTCGTCAACCTCAAATTTACTACTACTAAAGGATCCACGTCGATGAATTTCAACATCATCATCATCATCGACGTGATTTTTTTCTACAGCAACTGTATTTTTAATTTCTTCATCCACCGGAGTTATCTCCTCGCTCGAAGGCTGTAATTTAGAGTCACGTCGAACAGGGACAATTGGATGCGGCGGCAATTGTTTACTACTATTATTATTCTTAGTAGTGTCAAAGTCGCTTAACTGACTCTGACGCCTTTTTGGGGTCTCATAATTACGATGATTACGTCGCCCGGCATTATTTCGAGGAACTTTAACATTATTCTGCGAGTTTTTCAAATAGTTTAAACATAATTTTATACTATCAAGAAATTGTCCCTCTAAATCGGTAGACTCGACTGCCGTGGCATCATCATCATCCTTACAACTGTCATCATCATCCTCGATATTCTGCGCTTTGAGTGTCTCCACTGTCCGCGCAAGCACGACAATTGCTTCTCGTGCTCCGAATTCAAGACGACTAACTTTGGTTTTTAAATTATGAATATATTCATCCTTTTCACCGATTTCTTGAAGTAGTTGCTCCCGTTCTTGTTCGTGTGCCTCGTTAATAGTCTAGTTTAAACAGAAAACGTTGAATGATTTTGGTTAATTGAATGAAAAGATACCAAATTCTGGGTTTTCTTTACAACAAAACAATCAAACTACACATTCTCTCATTCACCAGAATTAAAGGACCCATAAAAATTTCCGAAATATTTATGGAAGTGGCATTATGATAAAGCAAAAGACGCATACAGACAATGCTGAATAAAAAAGATGAAAGAAATACCTCAAGGTCATTTTCCAACTCCACAACTCTACTTTCTAATTTACAAACAAGGTCTTGTGCTTGAAGAACTAAAGGTAGAAAACTTGCTGCGTCCATTGGCATATCTTGCCCATTCATCTCGAATGAACTTTCAAGTGCTGACTCTGCGGCTGCTGCTGGCATTTATTTTTTTATTTTTTTTGTTGTTATTATTATTTTGAAAATTTGGGTAGCAAATTAAAAACTACTTCTCTTGGGGGCGATTCGGTTGGAAAAAGGGTAACTATAAATATACGTTAGAGAAGAAAGAGAAAAAAAAGGGTTAATAGGGTAAAGATTTATATATCATGTATTATAATTATAATTATATATTATACATATAAGGTGTAACATGTTTCGACACTATTCAAAAAATTGTTTGTTGCATTTTCTTGCCGATAAATTGTTCGAACGTTGATGCAATGCAACACATTGTCTGCAGATTTGCTTGTGTAGTAAGTTTTCCGACTCGGTAACATTTTCGAACAAGAGCTCGGAAGAAATGTTGGTATTTTAGAATGTTCTAGCATATTCTGTCCTTGATTCTCTCAAATTAAAGAATTCTTTGCTCATGCTTTTTCTTTGCTCATGCTTTTGTTCTTTATTTCCACCCAACCAAAAATATGAGTGTAAGTTTGGCGCTTTTTTGTAAGTCAAAGTTGTGTAAAAAAAAATACTATTTTTTGAATTTGTGCTCATTAATTACTCTTGACGCGCCATTCTCTTGTTTCTATATTTATTTAATTAGGCCGAAGAATATAAAACTTTAGGGAATAAAGCGTTCTCTGCACATGATTACAAAACTGCCATAGAGCAGTTCACAAAAGCAATTGAGCTTGATTCGAAAAACCACGTACTTTATTCAAACCGTTCTGCTGCCTATGCGTCTTTAAAGGACTACTCTAAAGCGTTGGAAGACGCAAATAAGACGGTAGAACTTAAAAATGATTGGGCAAAGGTTTTTTTAACAAAAAATTTTATTAAATAATTTATATGATCTATTTTGTGAGATAATTTAATTAACCACTTTTATCTAGGGCTATAGTCGTAAAGGAGCAGCTCTTCATGGTCTTAATAGGCTTGAGGAGGCTCTCGAGACATATCAAGCTGGCCTCAAAATTGAGCCAAATAATGAACAACTCAAAAAGTCGTTAACGGAAGTTGAATCTGTACTCGCTTCTTCAAATCGTATGTGTAGCTTTTAAATATTATTTGCATGTCAGTATTTTTTAAAATTTTCATATTTAAGATTTATTTTTCCATTTATTCCAGCTTTCAACAATTTGATCCCGCGAATTGCTGCTCATCCCAGTTTGAAAAAATATCTCGAGGAACCAGATTTTTTGCCAAAAATCCAAGCTATTCAACGAGATCCCAAACTACTTTCAATGTATTTATTCTATTTCATACTTTACATAACTATTTGATCATTTCAATTAAATCCAATAAATGTTTCAGGTATTTGCAAGATCCTCGTATAGGTGACGTGCTTAAACATATTTTAGGAATTAATTTCGGATTTGGAGATCGCGAGGTATATTCAACAGAAAATATCAATTATTTTCCAAATAATCAAACTATAAAATTCATCCTCATCTTTTTTATTCGATTCTCATTAGATGGATATCTTCGACAATCTGCCTGAGCAAGTAAGATATATTCTCAATTAATTGCAATTCAGGCATATATACACTAATCATTGACAACATCAAAGAACAACGAACCCAAAGAAACGCCAAAGACAGAATCTGAACCTGAACCTGAAATAATTACCGAATCAACTGAGGAACAAATGAAAAAGAAAGAAGCAGACAAAGAGAAGGAGTTCGGTAATGAGGCTTACAAAAAAAGAGAATTTGACGAAGCGTTAAAGCATTACGATAAAGCTTGGGAACTGGATCCTACAAATGTAACGATCCTAACAAATAAAGCTGGTGCGTAACAATTTATTATTTTTCTACATGAAATAATGCTGATTCTTTTTTACCATAGAAAATCATTGTTAATTAATGGGGTCTTTTTGTATCCAGCTGTTTTGTTTGAACAAGAAAAATATGAAGAGTGTATTAATATTTGTAAAGAAGCGATTGAAGTAGGTCGCGAGCATCGTGCAGATTACAAACTGGTTGCTCGGTATGTTTCTGATGATGAAAAACGAATAGTTTGTTTTAAAGTAACTATAAATTGATAATTTATTCTCTTATTAGTGCATATGGAAGAATCGGAAACGCATGTGTAAAACTCGATAAATTTGACGATGCTATAAAGTACTACAACAAATCACTAACAGAGCATCGTACTCCGGACATTCTTAAAAAACTCAACGAGGTATATCCATTATATACTATAACTTTGGGATGCAATACATAAGATATAATAAAAAAAGATTTCCTCACATTTTTTTATTAATTCGAGTATTATAGATTGAAAAATTGAGAGTAAAGCGCGAAAAGGAAGCCTATTACAATCCTGAACTTTCTGATCAAGCACGTGAACGCGGCAATGAACTTTTCAAGAAAAACGATTTTGCCGGTGCAGTAAAAGAATACACTGAAGCGATTAAACGTAACGAAAAAGATCCACGAGCGTACAGTAATCGTGCTGCTTGTTATACCAAGCTTATGGCATTCCAAGAAGCTTTGAAGGATTGTGAAACTTGTATTAGTTTCGACCCTACTTTTGGTATGGTTATTTTTATTTATTTAGTGCATAAAGAGGTATTTTAATTCGATAAATTTCAAGATTTTTTGTTATTTTAAATTTTATATAGTGAAAGCCTATATTCGTAAAGCCGCGGTAGAATTTTTAAAGAAAGAATATGGAAAATGCTTAGAAACGTGTGAACTTGCACGTCAACATGACATTGAAAAAAAGCATGCCACTGAGATTCTCCAGCAGATCCGTAAATGTCACGAATCAATGGGTCAATCAGAATCTTCTCAAGAAGAAGTAATGGCAAAAGCAAGGAATGACCCTGAGATTCAGGTCAGTTGTTAATATATTACAAAGCTTCACTGTAGTTTTATTATTTGGTTTTTTATTCATTTAAATTTGAATTTTTAGAGAATTCTCCATGATCCTGTCATGTCCCAAATTCTGTCGCAAGCCCAAGAAGATCCTCGAGCACTTATGGAGTACGTTCTTATTGAATTTAGTTTTTATTTTTTTCTTTGATAGTATGTATATTAATGAAAATTTTTGTCGTGTTTTACGATTATAATAGACACATGAAGAATCCAGAGGTTGCCAATAATATTCGCAAATTAATGAATGCTGGAATTCTGAAACTAGCATAACTTATTCAACAATAATAATTTAATTCATTGATTTATGCCATCATTTTCATTGTATATCTCCAATTTGAAAGATGCTTATCTATTTCATCTATTAAATATAAATCTTTAATATTGGTTTATTCTAATAAAATTATATGGAACAAAACCAGGCGTCATATTTTTGTCCTAGAAAGTAAAAGCAGCTTGAAGAGTTTCCCTTGCAAACCATTATAGAAATATTCACGCTTTAGCAAGTTACGGACTTAACCTACATCATGTCCAAAACTCTGTTCAAATATGATAAATTTTGGACCGTGTCCAAATCCAATTCAGTTGTATAAAATTTAAACTTTAATTTAGTCCGATTTTTTAGTTATTCAACCAATCAGAACAAGACGTTTATTTTTGATGTATTTCGAAAAGTTTGCCTTGCAAAATTTCGCTACACATTCCTAATCCTGGCCATAACTCTAAAACACTGCTCTTCCGCCTGAGTAAAGTACCCCCAATGAATTCGTGAATGTTAATACCGGGGTATTATATACATATCTTGCGATTTGATTGGCCAATGCTAATCGATCCGTGGCGAAATTTATATATAAATTCCAGAAACTCCAATTCCACTTTTACCAATTTGAAATGTCTGTTACTAATGTTGCAAAGTACCCCTTCACACATCAACAATACGTAAAACAATTATATCGTAGGTCACTGAAACTATCGTTAGATTGGTACGGTTTTCGAAGTATTTGGCGACAAAAAGCCTTGGAAATTCGTGAACGTTTCGATGCTAATCGTACAGTAACGAGTTCGTATGAGTTGAGACGTATTTTGGAGGAAGCTGAAGAAGAACTAGAACATTATAGACACCCGGAACCGTATAAATGTATTTGTTTCATTTATATCTTATTTTTATATGTAATTAGTATTGTAATTTTCTTTTTTGATAGATCCTACTGCACCTGGTGGTTCAAAGTACGAAAGAAATCTACCACCTCCAATAGTAATTATTATTATGATTCTTTCGATCCGTGTTCTTTTTACTTTAACTAATTAATATTTTTACATCATTAATTTACAAGGTTCCTTACATCAAACAATTTATTATACATTAAATCAATAATCTTTATATACAAAATGTCTACAATTCTTGTTTGTTAATAGGTTATCGTTATTGTAATAAAAGTAAAAATCTAACCCAAATTAGTTTTGTTGCTACTACCTGTTATAACAAGTTTATAGAGTATTCGCAACCATTTTTAAGATTTCTTCAATATTTTTTCCAACATTATTAATATCTTTGGCAACTACTTGCCATTTTTCACCATGATGAGGTTCCGATGCAACGCACCGTGATATAACATCTTGCTGATGTTGCTGTAAAAAAATAATGTCGATATTGAATTTTTTAGTATACAACTAATTAATAAATAAAAGTTAAAGTACATTTTACCTCTGTGCCATGTTGCAATTCAAATTTGTAAAACCAAGCCCAAGAATCACCCCAATCAGGATTCACTTTAATAGCTTTTTCAAACCACGTTCTCGCTTTCTCAACTTTCCCTTCAAACCAAAATAAGCGTGCAACCGTTGCAATGACCATTGGATCATTATCGCATTGCTTTAATGCATCAACAGATTTGCTTTTTCGCTGTGGTCGAGGTTCCATGAAGATGGATTCCGACCAAAGAAGACCCGAATGTGGACAATGTTGCAAGGCTTTTGCTAATAAATTTTTTGCCATATTGATATTATTGCCTCGGAGTTCTACTCTTATCGCTTCACACCTAATATTAAACAAATTAAAATTTAATCAAAATCTTCATACAATAAGAATATTTTATCAAATTGTATACTTGCCATAATTCTGGGATTTTTGGATTTAGCTTTCGAGCATTTTCAAGCGTGGACCTTGCTTTAATTATTAAGCCTGCTTTCTCTTCCAATCGCGAAGCCAAAATCCATAAATTTATGGATTTAGAGCAGCTTTTGAGTGCATTGCTGTAAGTTAATCTGGCGGCAGGAATATCGCCTCTATCTTCTTCAATTTGCCCTTTTATCATCCATAGTTTATCAAATGTCGGATACTTGGTCAAAGCTTCTTCGATCATTGCTAATGCTTCCGTAGTCTTGTGGAGTTGTCGCTCTAGTACGACCGATTTCATCCAAACTTTTTCGGTGCCCGCTTGTTCTCTCGCTCTCTGCAGCAACATCCTTGCTCTTTCGTATTCGCCATTCTCGGCTTCTAATTTAACAGCAGCCAGCCAAATTTGTTCACTATTCGGATTAGCTCGGAAAGCTTCTGTCAGAATAGCACGAGCACCATCAACATCACCCTAAAATAACGATATTTAATATATTACGATCTATCATTATAAAATACGTTTATATGTGACTTACCGCTAACCATTTTTCTTTCGCGCCCATGAGCCAAAGGACTTCTGCTTGTGGGCAAAATCTAACAGCACGCTGTAATAGTTCTTCCAATGATTCCCTTATAGATGAAAAAATTAAAACTTAATATAGAAATTTATAGTAAAGCTGTATAGGAAAAAGAAAAGAAGGATGTACGTCTCTCAACCTTGTGCCATAAGACTTTTCCAAAAATGCTGCTCTCCGCCATATTGATTTTTTGCCAGGAAATACTCTGAGAGCATGAGCATAAATAGCTCTCGCAGTTTCTATTGAACCGTGAGAGACGCAACTTTCTGCATCCTCCATCCAAGTAGCTTTTCGATCTTGATCTTCGACGCTCATACCAATTGTATTTCGTACTATAGCCTGGCAAGTGCCAATGCTACCTTCACTTTCACATTTTTCAGCTTCCTGAAGCCATTGATCACGGCCTAGAACGCTGCCTTTTTCAGAGAGTACACTTACAGCACGAACGATAATCTTGTCGGTCATTCTCTCGTTTCCTTCTTGTTCTTCAAGTCTAGCAGCTGCTATCCAAATTTCATGTGATGTAGGTATTTCACTTCGTGCTTTATTTAGTACTTTTTTAGCATTTTCGTAGCTTTCAAGCCGGGCAAGAGCAAGCCATAATTCTACAGAAAGAGGCACCAGTTGAGTAGCTCGTGTAAGTAAAATACGCGCATCTGCCGGATTTTCTTCCATATTTACGGCAGCTTTCCATAGTTTAACGGAATTAGGTACAAATTCAAGTGCTAAAATTATAAACAAGCATCAATTAGTCATGAAATTTTGAATAAAAAAATTTTAATTGTAAGACATACCTCTTCTGAGAACGCGTTTTTGACCTTTGGTATCCGTCTCCAATTTTACAGCCTGAAGCCAAATTTTTACAGACTGTGGCAAATGACGGACAGCATTAGCCAATATAGTTCTCGCTGTATCCGCATTATTAAGACGAGCTGCTTCAAGCCAAACATCTTCACTTTTCGGACATTCTTCACAGCCTTTGGCAATTATAGAACGAGCCTGTGCCATTTTGCCAGCAACTTCTTCCAGACGAGCTGCCGCAATCCAACCGGGGGCATGTTTCGGATTTGTCGATATAACGGAATTTAATAATAATCGCGCCTTTTTGATATCTCCAATTTCTGCGTCGCTCTTGATGACCACGCTATTTAAATCCGTTAGATAGCCTTTCGGATCAACTGTTGTTTGTCCGCTCACAGAATCGGAGATTTGATCCAGTTTCAAACTTAGCACTTTATCTCTTGCTTGACCAATTTCAATGAAATTTGTCATCATTCCTGAATCTGGAGCTGGAGTTTGAAAACCACCATATTTCTATACAAATAAACATAAGCATAAACAAAGCAATATCTAAAATTAACGAACTCTATAAAATTACCTGCTGCTGTGCATCAAGAGATGTGACATATTGATTTTCTTCTCTTGCCTTCTCTAGTAATGAATCTGGAACAGCATAATATCTAAAGTATAGTATATTAGTATGTTTATAGAATTGTTAATTTGTGCTATACTAAACTAATAAAGATAAAATTAATACCTTTCACGTAAATTCGTTTTCTTGCGATTTTTACCGACAAGATCACCAACATCGGGAAGATTAGCCCATTCAGAATCAGTAACAACAGCCAGTCCTCTCTTTAAATCAGCGAATTGCTGTTGTATTTTCGGCCTTTCAGCACGATATTTTTCTAATTCTTCCTTCTCGCGTGCTTCCCTATTTATGGGAAAATTCATTATAATTAGTCATGACGCCATTTGGTACCTACTTCGAAAGCAATTACTTTTAATGAATAACAGATACATACCTCCGTGCCTTCCTTCGTTCGTCCATTTTTTGATCAATGGCCTCATATATTTTATCGGCTTCTTCATCATCTTCTTCGTACGGCGCCGACGCAAAAAGCCCAGTTTCATTATCGGGATCCTGAAAACGCTCATCGTCGTCATCATCATCCTGTTGTGCTTTCTTTTGTAATACATCACTTTGTGAAGCCCAATGAGAATTGAAAAGCATTAGCATGTTGATATAAAACAAATCACGTACCAATTTATTATACTCGACTTTTGATTATACTGTGCTTTTTCCCATATCGAAAAAGCACCTCAGGCTGACCATAGTAGTAGTTTCTTAGCAAAGCTTACCTAAAGTCAGCGGGTCCCTCTCTTGCAGGACCTATATCAGATCTAGTGGTAAACCCAGTAGCACTGTAAAGATAATTCAAACGGTAAAGTTAAATTTAATAATCAATGACAACAAAGAGCGAAATCAAAGAATGTTTAAAAACAAATACCCTCTACCAAGTCCTGCCACATAGTTTGGCGGCGCTTCTTTGTTCATAAAATCTTTGGTTACTGTAAACATTGTTGTAAATAATGATGTTAAAGAAATAATGATATTAAATAAAGGTATTTATTTTAATCACCATTTCTATCCACTAAAGCCGGGTATTTTCACGTAATAAAGAATCCGATCAGGATCGTAATCATGTGACCAAAATCGAATTCACTAACGGGAATTCTATATTCTAACAATGCGAAAAGGGTTAGGGGTTGGCTCTGGGTCAAGGTTATTTGGCAAACAAAAAATATCTTTATAGTAAAATCTTGCAGTGAACATTTTTTATTAGAACAAAAAAAATAGTTTCATAAACTAGATTTTGAGATAAAAGCTTTTTTTCAAAAAATATATTTTTGTTTTGTTTATTTTTGAATTTTTGTGTTACATGTTAATCTTGCAATTTAATTGGTTATATCAATGATATCATCAAAAAATTATCATGTGATCCAAAATTTCAGTGATTATCCTGATAAATTCAATAAGAAAAACCATATCTAAAAATAAAAACATATTGTTGTAATATGAATTTTAAGTTTGTTTCATCAGAAAATTTCTATATCCGTTGGCAATCGATTTATAATCATGTCCATTGATAATCAATCATCAACACCTTATCATTTATCATTGATAAGAATTATAATCAATTGTCAGTGATTATAATTGATTATAATTGTTGACAATCAATTATGATCAAAAATTATTGAAAAATATTATTAGCAATCAATTGCAATTACTAGTAATGGAAAATGATAATGTGTTAATGATCAATCGCCAATAGAAATTGTCAGCAATTGATTGTTAACAAGTTCCATTTGCAATCAATTGCAATCACAATCAATACCAATCAGTAAAAGTGTTAAAAATCAATTGTCAATATATAAGGTAGCTAATTGATTACCAGCAAGAATTGATTGTAATCGATTACAATTACGATCATTACTTATCGATGAGTTGTTGATGCTTGATTAACAATGAACATGATTGATAATTGATTACCAACAAGAATAATTTATAATTGTTTGTAATCATAATTAATATTAATTAGTTAGGGTGTTGATAATTGATTATTAATTGAAGTGATTTGCAATTAATTGCCAATGTGTATAATTAGTATTCAAATATAATTATGCTAAATATTGATTGATGAGAATATTAATCAATGGATATTGTTAAAAATCAATTTTATTTTGGATAATATAATTATGATCAATATTAATCATTAATTTGTTGATATTTATTTAATTAATATATTATGCATTTACATAAATAATATATTACAAGCTAATTGAATTGATTCATATTTATTTTATTATTTTTCTACTGAGCTCTTATATTATTTCATTTTTATGATAAAAATTAACTGAAATATTACCTTTATATTTTGCTGAATTTTTTTTCTTGATCGATTTTTATATTGTTACCATTTCTGTTAGTTTATTAACTTTTAAGTATAAATCACATGTTCTTCACGTATTTCAATTAAATAGGAGAGTTATTAAAGATTTTTATGTGTTTAAAATAAATAAAGTTGGGAGAGACTAATTTAATAAAGATAGGTAATGATGTATTCATTTTGTTGAACTGTTAGAATGAGTTCAGAAATCTTCTTTTAATTCAAATAGTTTAATCGTTAAGTAATCTTCTTTTATTAATTAACTTTTATTAAAATTATCTTCTTCTTTTATTATAAATCTAAATAATATTAA